TGCAATTGATAGCAATGTGTCCTCTCCTTCCACATTTATTACTCGTGCTATAAATAGATATTTATACTATAATAAAATTATAAATCTTACTGCTAAAAATAAACCAATAATAATTTGATAAAAATAAGTAAAAATAAAACTAAGTTATCTATTCTATCACAATATATAAAGGTTGTATTAAAACAAACAGTACATCCAATAACTCTGTTTGAGTATATTTTTTTGGAAAGTATTTGACTTAGCATGTATAATGATATTAATGTAGATGGTTTTATGTTATAATAGGTGAAAGAAGGGGTGCAAGAAAACAAAAGAAAAGAGAACTGCCATAAGCCTTTCTTCATGCAACTGAAGAATAAGCAAGGCTTCCAAACTTAAGTAGACTTCGACTAGAGGTCTTATTCTACTGCACCAGTTGTCTTGAAAGTTCTTAAGTTCTTGAACTGAAGCTCACTTGCGATAAAGAGTGTAAATCATTTTTTCTTGACAAAAATTACCATAAAAGAAAATTTTTTAGCAAAGTAAACATAATCAGGAGAGAGTTTTATAATTATATAATTAAATTAATCAATTAAAATTAAAATTATATAATATATAAATAAGTCAATAATATTATATATTATATGCTTTTTTTTTTTTTTTTCATAGATGATAATAACTTTAGTAACTTTATTTCTTTATCTGACAAAGATGAAGAAAAAAGTAATAGTAATAATTAGTTATTATCTATTTTTATTCAAAGTTTTAATAATTTATCAAAAAACAAATTTTTTAAAAAAAAAAGGTTTGTTTGACAATTTTTTAAAATATATACAGTTTCAATAATATCTTCAAATAATTAAAACAAACAAATCGAAAAGTTTTAATGTTTATTTGAAGAATGTAATATAGAATATTTATAGAAAGGTTTAACTAGTAATTTAATTAGTTATCTCTATAATAAACATCAAATTACTTAAGATTTTCTTTTAAATAACTTAATAAAAGTTAAACAACAAATGATTCAACAAGTTATTACAAAATCCTATTCTCCTTATATTTAAAAAAAACTTATCAATCAACTTATATATTATATAATTTCTTGTATACAATCTATTTCTATTGTTGAAAATAATGAATTTAAACTTTTTATAAAAAGTTTAGATTTTCAATTTGAAATATTTAGTATTAGTAAAATAAAAACAACAATTTTTAACTCTTATACTTGAACAATTAAACAATTTATAGATCTTATTTCAAAAACATCATATATTATTTCATTAACTTTAGATATTTGAATATTACAAGCACATGATTATCATTGGCTTACAGATACTTTTGAGTTATGCAAAACTATACTTAATATTGAAGAACTTAATGAGTATTATACATTTGATATTGTCAAATCTATTGATTTAACATTGAAAAATTTTATTATTATTAATAAGAAAGTTTTTTAAATTACAATAGATAATAGTACAAATGTTAAAGTAGCAATACAATAAATAAATATTACTAATGGGATGTATATGGGTCATACTTTTCAATTAAATATAAATTAAAAATTAAAAAATAGTTAAGAACTTTTTTTAAAATATAGAATACTTATTTTTATATTATTAAGAGAAAAAAAAAAAAACAACTTCATGAAGCTTAATACAAGTTACATCAGGATTTAAAATATTATTAGATATTATTAAAGATGTAGATACATAATGGAATTTTACTTTTTATATGATTGAATAATTGGTATATTTAAGATTAACAATTATGCAACTTTATTCAACTCTTAACAATAATACTATTTCAGAAATCAGAAAAAAAGCTAAAGTTTTTAATTCTGTAATGCTTACATTAAAAGAATTTGAATTATTAGAAGAACTTATTGAAGTTCTTTCTTCTTTTAATGAAGTAACACATTTTTTAAGCAGCTTCAAATATCCAATACTTGGTTTTATGTAAGAATCCTAATGATTCTTTTCGATTCTGTATTCGATTCTCAAGTTTATATTAAATTTAATAGGTGGGGTATACCCCACCATCATTTTTAATAGTGTTCCAAACCTCATGTGATTCAGTTCGATTCTATTCGATTCCAATTTTTGGAACTATAGTTGAAGATATATTTCTTTAATAAATAATTAGTTGTGATAGTTGTATTATTATTATTATAATATGATTAATGATTAGTTTGTTTGTTAATAGTATAATTTTGTTTTAATTGTTATTATCAGAAAAGATTTTATTTATATTGATTAGTATGTAATGTTTTAATTATATAAATTTGTTTAGAAAATTGATAGTGTTTAATTAGTTAAATTCAAAATGTTGATTAATTGACAGAAGCAAACTAATTATGGTTTTTTGATAAGAATTTTTTGTGTAAAAATTTGAGTTTTTATAATATAATATTATGTGTTATACAATGTTAAAAAATAGGTATTAAATATATTGCTAATGCCTTAAGCTAATAATACAACCAATTTTGATATAAAATTTGATTTTTGAAATAAAAAAATAGCTTTTTAAAAAGAAAATTTGTTTATTTAATAAAAAGTATATATTAATAAAAAGTAAATATAGAAAAATCTCAAGAAAAGTTTATAAAGAAACAATTGTCATAAGTCTTTTTTTATGCAACTTAAGAAGAAATTAAGAATCCTAAACTTGCTTTTTCTTGATTAAAGGTTTTGTTTTGATATATTAATATACTTATTTAATTTTCTTGAAATTTTTATAGTAAAAATAAAAGAAATATATAAGGCTTTTGAATATTGAAAGGCAAAAAAAATATTTGTTTCTTTAATTTTAAGAAAAAATTACTACAAAAGAACATTTTTAAGAAAAAAGTTATATATAGAAAAGAGTTTTTTGGATTTTAAATATTATTCAAATAAATTATAATAAAAATATATAATAAAAATATTTTTAATTATTTTAATATATGAAATTTTAAATTACTAAATAATTATAATTTTAACAAAAAATAAAATTTATTAATTAAATAATATATTAATTTACAATAAAATTTATATAACATCAAATTATAAAAATCTAAATATATCATATTAGATTATCAATTATTTTTTATTTATTAATATTTTTATTGTTTACAATTTTATTTATTAGCAACATACTGTATAAATAAAAATTATATTTTTTAATTATATTATTAATATATTGATTTTTATAAACAAAATTAATATAATACATCTATAAAAAATTAAAAATTTTATATTTATGTTTAATTAAAAAATTTAATTTAATATAAAAATAAATTGTAATAAAAAATTTCAAACCTATAAAAGTTAATTTATAAATAAAAATATATTGTAACTTTTGTTATAACAAATTTTATTTTAGATTTGTCTATTATGAATTGCAAATAAAAAAAAAGAAATTAAAAATATTTTCAAACTTTCAAAGCTTAGCCAATATTAAATAACTTGAAAGTGATAAAAAGAAAATTATCTAGTAATATATTTAAGAAAAGTATATAAATTAGAAACTATATTGAATAGAAACAAAAAAATAATACTAAATTGGTAATCAAAAAGATTAATAAAAGATGTTATATGATGTCATGATTTGGTTTTGCAATATATTGTAAAACTTTATTAATAATTTTATAAAATCATAATATTTAGTTTTTTATAATTTTTTTTTAAATTATTTTCACAAGTAACAATAAAATTGTGTATTTATACTGTATATAAAATTGCGATTGATAATTTTATTTATTTTTGAATTTTAAAAGAATTTTTAAAATAGATCACTGATTAAATAATATCATTTTGATTGCATAATATTACAGTGTTTTATCAAATCATTTGGAATAAATATCGTTTGTTTTTATCTTTTGTTATACAGTATATTATTAATTTAAAAATAACCCAAAATTTTTTATATTCATTAGTAAGCTTTATAATTTCATTTTAATAATTGTTTTATCCGATTCAAATATTTAACCATAATAAAATCGTTAGTTGTAAAAGGCCAAATCATAAGCATCGTACTTATCAACTCTTCAAAGAATTTAAATACGAACCCAAATGACGGAAATGCATCACATTAATTATTCATGCAGTATGGATATGTATGTATTTTAGAGTGCACAATCTACTGGTGCACCTCGTTTATTCGGATATTTATTGTTCCAAGTCTTGAGATTTCATTAGATCAAACATTTGCTTATTTCTTAAAATTGAGAAACCGTAAAAATAATATAAAATAACGTCTACTTAGCTAAAATATAGTTAACAACTATTTGGAAACAGTGATGATATAAATTGAAAAATGAAGTATTGTTATTAAATTTTTTTATTTCTTAAGATTCCTATGCTCTACAATCTAAAAAAAAAATGAATTTTTATAGACAGAATAGTGTGAATGTAAATGCATAAATCCTCCGCAACCCAAGTATATAAAAATATTCTTAAAATATTAATAGGGACATGTCCGGCGAACATCCTTCGGTTTTCGCGAGACCCTGTGAATTTTTTGATACAAGCCACATGCGTTACAAAGTGTAAGGCCCTCGTGTTTTCGCCAGCACGGAGACTTCTTTGCACCACAATTGTTGCAAACCTTGCTATATGTATTGGTAGGCTTTCGTTTCAGACGAATTTTTCCATCAATTATTTCAGTTGGACGCATCATTCCATATTTCTTTCGATAGAGGCCACACGAATTACAAACTTTAAGTCCATCTTCGCGATTGCGCCAAGTTGATGTATTCATTTCTCCACAGTCTGCGCATCCCATGTTATGTGCATTATGATTGGACAAAATGGAATTTTCGTGAATGACTCGCACATCTTCTTGCGCAGTGTAATTGCAAAAACTTTGCTGCGGAGACAGAGAATTATTCGAGTTCAAAGAATTAAATTGCATAAGTTGTGGGTTGACAACAAATTGCGTTTGGTACATCGATAATTCGGGATAAATAAACGGTGGAAGTTGACCATAGAAGAATGACCGAAGATCATCGATTTCTCCGGAGAATGATGCGCAATCACTAAGTTGAAAGAAAAATGGTTAAGCCAAAGTTATTAAATATTTTTGCGAGAGCAGTAAAAAATTAAAAATATTTACTTGAGCTCTTGAGATTGAAAATTATTGTTAAGCATTTCTTATATAGATCTTGTGGAATTGATGTTTCACACTTTGATGTGGTGAAATTTCATCGATCAAGAATCGCAGTATTTATATCTAAATCTCATTTGTTTTGAGTTGCGCAGTATGCAAATCGCGTGATGCTCCCTTTGTCTGAACCAATACAATACGTAAATTCGACTCAATGCAGAATTTCATATATTCACGTGACATAATTTCATAGTTATTCATTCATTTATGAACGTGGCAGATCGAGTTTCTTCTCAGAACCCTAAATTTTTTAAGAAAATTCAATTCGTCTACTTGTGGAACTAGGGAATCACATATTGAACTTTGTATTGAGCTAATTATTAACCTTAATTATGAAATTTAAGGCATTATTTTTGGAATCATTTTACCCCTCTTGTTTAGAAAAATATAATACATGCACGTGACTATTATTTGTGATGTAAAACGTAAAAATGGTTGGTTACTGTATTCAAAGTTCGAATACCAACTAATGTACTTCATGTATTGTAAATGTGTATTATTCGTGTATTGAATGGGCCAATGAGCCTGTTAAGATGAACATTTTAGACCACCGCTAGAGAAACAATGGAGAAAAAAAATTCTCCACTCTAGGTAATTTAGAACTTTTTTTCTTCTTTGATTTTCTTTCCTTCTTTTCGAAGTGTAAAATTCAATTTTCACGTAATCTGTTTATTGTGAATAGACATCAATTGTAGTAATGCAAACTCTTTCTTCAGTGGCAACAACAATTTTCATAAAAATGCATTACAGTATTTAACGAACTTTCAAATTATTATTATTACTTCTCCGTTCGGATGAAAAAGCATATTATTGATAGAATTATATGTTAACAATTTGGTTTGCATATTAAAATCAGGGCTTTAGTGTTACATAGTATTTATTAAATATTGCATTGGCATTATCAGAGCTTATCTCTTCCCGACTTTGTATAATAGCATTATATCTTACCAAAACGTATCCAGGTATAATCAAATAGAATGTGGTGACATAATAAGTTTTAGTAGCTCTGTTATTTTTTATTTTATTTTTTTATTTTTATTTGTTATATTAAGCATCTTTTTAATTGTTAATAATTTGATAAAAATCGATTTTTCAAGTTCATTACTTTAGTTAGTGATGAATTTACTGTAAATGTTTCACTATTTCAAATACTTATTAATATATTATATTTAATTTTCTTATAACAAATTACAGTATATAAAATATTTAAGTATTGCGTTAAAAAGTCTTATACTATATCGGATTATAAATATATAATATGTGTAATAAAATTAAATTCAAATGTTTTTCAAAAACTATATGATAATATGATTACAAATAAATTATAATAAATATTATCATATTTAATTTAGAATTTTGAAATCAAATAAAAAATTTTATAGTAATTTGTTTATATATTTATTATAAATATTTAAACTTTATAAAATAAATTTAATTATAACAAAAAAATAAAACTTTTAATTTGTTTTTAACAATAAACATTAAATACAAAACTTTATCAATCATTGATTATAATTATTATATCAATAATTTTTTATAGAATAAATTAATTATAGTCTTTTGTTATAATCTAATTATATAAACCTTTATTAATAAAATAAATTTATATATTAAGTGAAGTTTAATCAAAAAATACAAATTCTATGATTAGTTTAAATTACCTACAGTAATCTGGAAATTTATTTATATAAAAAAAATATTTATCTTGTAAGAGTTAGTAATTGAATATTTTAATACTTTTCATTTTGAATTATAAAAAAATAATATTTTACAAAATAGATTAGTATTAAAAAATCTTTTTTAAAAATACATGTTGAAAATTAACAAATTATTTTTTATATTTTATTTTAATTTTATACAATTGTAAAATTAAAACAAATTTAATAATAATATATATTTTCTAATAAATGTTTTAAAAATTGCATATAAATTATTGAATTTAGAAACTTTAAGATTATATAAAATATAACTTTAATAAAAAATTTAAATTAACTTAAGTTACTAAATCTGAAAAAATAAATATTAAGCAAGATTCAACTTTTATATATTTGACAATCTATTAAATAGATCATGTTTATAAAAATTTTTAAAAAATAATAAACTTTAAAAAATTTAATTTTAAATACTAACAAAAACTAAAACTTTATTAAATTAGAAAAATATCTTTTATATATATTGACTTTATATAATATAAAATATTTATATATTATATTAGGCTTAATCTTTATATATATATCCCTTAAATCATAGGGTATTTTTTTTATAATGTTTAAAATTTTTTAATTAAAAAGTTGCTTTTCATTTATTTTTTTAAAGAATCAAAATATTTTTCTAAAAATTTATATAATATTG